GGTGAGCAAGCTGCCGTATGAAGGGGGTTGTAGCAGCAAAGAGGTTGAAAACATGGAAATAAACTGGGCTATTTTTTGCCTGCGGTTATCAGGATTTGTATTTTAACATGCACAAAGACCGGGAACAAGCTTAGCCCTTCATGAAGACAGATCACATCAACCTCTGATTACTGTGCTTTACTCTGTTTATTTATGCAGCAACACGTCTCGGGAATGATCAAAAGTAAAATAATTAAGACTAGACAAAATTTAATGTAAGACCTTTGATAAAAAACTGGGCCTTTTTAAGATTTTTTTGGCCTAAAATTTTCGTTTTCAAATTTTAGACTTTTTTAGACTGTTTATGACACTGTCTGTGGGTAAAACACAAATAAATGAGCTCTATAATGGGTCTACAAGCCTAAGTTAGCAGGTTAAAAGTTAAAGGTGGTGACAGCACCTGTGTGGCTTGTTCAGAATAGTTGCAGGAGAAGGTACACTTTTTCTTCAAAGACCAGCAGCACAATGAATCCAGAAATATTATCTGCTTGTATTCAGTCAAATGCTTCAGAACTCATTGGATGATGCTGAACAGTGCAAATGACCAAGGATTCTAAGAATACTGTGAAAGCAACCAAAGAGTTTTGTAAGGCAAACAAGTGCAATATGAACTGGTCAAGTCAATCACCTGACCTGAATCCAACTGAGCATGCATTTCACTTGTTGAAGACAAAACTGAAGAGAAAACATAGAAGAGGCCTGACAGAGCATCACGGGATGAAACTTAGCATCTGGTGATCTTTGCATTCCAGACTTGTAACTAACTGCAAAGGATTTGCAAATATTAAAAGGTAAAAGTTTGATTTATGATTTTTAATTTGTCCCATTACGTTTGGTTCCTTTAAAAGTGAGWTGCACAAACTGTTGTATACTGTTCACCTGATTTGAATGTAAATACCTTCGATTAAATTAATAAAGATTTTGGCTTTGTTTTTGGTTACCAAGTACTGAGAAGCTGGAAATTGTGTTTCTGTAAATATTAGAAGTTGGTTAAGACCAGGCTACTTTTATCATGTCTTGATGTAATTGAAATAAATGGATTTTTCTGTTTCTCTAAGATTGGATCAAACAAAAGGGCTGAAAAAGTTTTAATGCACTTTTTAAAAAGGTAAAATATTTACTACGTTAAGGTCTTTTGAATAAACAGCAAAAATTAAATAAAGTGAAATAAGCGTACTTGTGTTTCTTTCCAAAYATATAAAAATGCACCAACATTCTTCAGAAACAATTTTTTAACCAAACTACATGTTCTTTTTAAAATCAACTTCAAAGTAAAGGTACAATTGTAGGGTGGTCTTTGTCCCTAGAGGTCAGAGGAGGTAGCTGCCACATACTCACATAGCTGCTGGGGTCCTGCAGATTGTAAGGTCGCAGGAACTCTTCAACAGGCTCTCCCAGGTTGTTCTCCAGAAGCCCTCGGATCAGCTGATAGTGCTTTTTGTCTAGAGAGCAGTGCACTGATGACAAACTGCCATGGATAGACATGTCAGGCACAGCGTGGCTCAGCTCCCTGATAATAGGAAACATTGATTACTATGCAGGCCATATTCCAGGGTTGGTTACGTTTCTTTAGTTTTCTAAGAAATAAAAAGAACAATCTCAAAAAATTGTATTAAATAAAGGCATGCAAGAAATACAAGAAATGCATGTCACCTGCTGTCTTTCATGGCAAAGTGTTATACTAAAATCAGCTTATTACAAAAATAATAAATAAAAAAGTTATAGCTGTTTTGACCAAACCATAAAAATACCATGTGCAACAGTCTCAAATGATCTGTTAGCTCTTAAATAGGGCTCCCATTGAAGAAATTTATAGTTAGTACTGATTAAATACAACACATAGTTAGGGTTTTCTATTTTATAATACCTTTATAATG